AAATGCCTAAGAAACTTGTTTAAAACAGCCCTTCCAGAACTTCAAGGGAATCTCTGCAGGTTAATTTCTCTAAGTAGAACAATAGGAGAAAATATGCTTCTAAAGTAACAAGAAATCACCACAAAACTTCCCCAAAAAACGACAGCTGCAGAGAATGAACATTTCGCAGAAAACGAGATTAACTAACCGTTCTAACTCCTGTCGCCAGTCCTTTAGCAGCACTAAAGATTAAAAATAAACAACATATTGCAACGTGTTTTATTGAAAAAACGGTAGCTAAAGTTATTAACCATTAGTAATGGAAATGTGAACCAACACTTATGTGTTTAATTTAAACCAGTGGTTAGATGACGGCTAAACAGGAACGTAGAGTCTTCTGGGTTAACAGCCTGATATACGACTGCGGTACCTAACACCCGTGGGTTGAGTTTATCTTCCTTCAAAACAGAAGATGTGTTTGCCCATAACTGCAAACCCTACGAGAAGCCATGGGTAGAGGATAAAATCGAAAAAACCTGAGGCGTTAACATCGAGCTTGAAACAACAAATGACATAATTAAGAGGCATGCTAACCAGTCGAGGCGCCGGTTTATCACATACGACCGAGTAGCACTCGGTCTAGTATTTGACCTCCAAGGTCGACAGTAAACAAAACACCTGCCGCCCTCAAGTGCCACAGAAAAACACAGGCGCCAAACAAAACTGATCTTGGACCTGGAGAGGAAGGGAAAAAGGCCTAGTTATCAAACACGGTAGGTTTTATGAAAAACGGAAGCTGTGTTTAGTCACTGCCTAAGGAGAACGGAAGACGTGGCCACGCCCTGTACGGTAGGCGAAGCCGGCTGCGGACTACGCGCGCTTAATCAGGCAACCAATCAGCGTATGCTATTGCAACAACGGGCAGGTGTTACGCCTTCGCTCATATGCGCAGCCCAATCAATGGGTGGTCGAACATAGTAGATTTTTCTGTGAGCAGGTTCTGGCGAAAGAAAGGCTCAACCCACGACCGACATGCCACTGGCCACTGTATTCTAGAACGCTCAGCACTCCAAGTAATAAGAACGAGTTTGGATAAGATAGGGACCGTGCGTTCATCGGCTGAGAAAAAGCGTCCGTCCCCTGAACCCATTCTCGTTTTGTAACATCTACGATACGGGCTCAAACGTTATTCTCGAGCTTTAAAGAGTATCTTTCAAGTGCCTCAATGTGCATATCACACGAAACTTTTATGCTCAGCAATTCCCATAATTCCTTTCTCTGTAAACCGATTGGCCCATAACGTTTTCTCACAAGAGTAAGTAGGGGATTAAGTAGTTAGTTCTACTTCATCTGTAATCAACACTTAAAATGACAAACGGCGTAATTTACATTTGGATGTTTATTTTCATTTTGTTAATCGTCATCAGTTGCGGTATATAGATGATAACAAGAGAAGATAAAAAGAGAGTGACAACGGTTTCCTGTTTCATTAAATTTCATCTTTGTCATGGTCAATTTGTTGACGTTCGCATACCCGACCAATTTAAGTTAAATCTATTTTTACGAGTAACTACCTGATCTCGAAGGGAAGAGTGATTATCTAAAGCACTTGTTATTATAGATTTCTACCAGCTTCCTCATACGTTGGCATGATATTAACGGCAACAACATATATCATTCCGAAGGCTAAAAACAATGCCCCCATTAAAAGGCTTTAAGAAAGACAATAAAGATTCGTTAGCTTTAGGATGCCAATCTTCAAAAAATTATAATGGTTGCAAACCTAGATTTTTTTTCTACAAGTTTACACCTAGAACGAGGCTTGACGGGGAAAGCGTCAAAAGGTACTAGGCAGCTGCCCTAACCATCAATCTACTGTAATTTTCGTTGTAGAAGCACCTCAAGAATATAGACTTAGTCGAAATTTAAAGGTATGGTGCGGTGTTCGTCAACTCCGAATTGTATGGACCAGTTTTTAAGTATCACGCGCATGGTGGATTTTCATGGACAGGCAAGCTAATGCTCGCATTTTATTACGTTTTATACTTTTGATACCACCAAACAAAATTGCTTACTGCGGAATACCCTGTCAAATAAGTCAGTGAAGGAACACTAGGTGCGGTCTATACCCGAAAGTAGGACTGAAGGAGATGTTTGGATATGACGGCTAGGTCTGAGTCTTTCAGTGCCCTTCCTTTTAATCTAAATTATATGCATGTTTCCAATCCCTTTCCGATCACAAGTAGACCCAGATTCTGGTAAAATGAGAAATCAATTAGTTGTTCACTTCGTAAAAAACTGAATACTGCATGTTTCTTCCTCTTTATGTTGTGGGGGAGGGGGTTGAGACAGGATTAAATGGATGAAATAGGAAAATACAACTCACTTCCACGCGACGATTTCCTGCTTCAAATTTGTGATGGCCGCACGTATATCGTCCTCTGAATTAATGGTACTCGTAGATAAGGTTGAAGTAGAGGAAGAGTTTCCTTCTCCATCTCCTTTTACCGCAAGGTAGCACGTTTCTAACTCTTTAACTAACTCCTTCATGGTTTGAGCGCTAAGAAAGACGCCGCCAGAGAGGCCATTTTCCGAAACTGCAACCAACGATTCAGTCTGTGCAACATCAGAGTCAGTCTGCGAGCCGCTGGACCCCACTGAAATTGTGCTCCGGTGATGTAACATAGACCCAGCAGCACCTTCTGTTTCCTTGAGCATGATTCCCTGCAGTTGGAAAGGGTGAATAGTAATGATGAAGGTGAAAGTAAAAAATGCAAGGTGTTTTCAAGTAAGCAGAATTCTGAAAATATCGATGGCATTACTATCCTTGAGAGTCAAGAGCATGCTACCTAGTTGATGTTCTCACCTCTTTAACTGGAGTCCTGCCTTCACCACTGGGGAATTCCGACATCACATAGCCAAGTCCTTTTAGGACTTCTTCATGTTTTTGAACGCTGGCCTGCAATTCGGCAATAAGCTCGTTTTTGGCTTTCAATTCCTCCTAGAATAACAACAGTAAAAAAGGAGGGTGATAAAATGCGTAAATGTTTGTGCGTGCGTTTTAAAAGTGGTACCAACGAAAATATCCAACTTTAACTCCCTTCCTAAGGTGTAAGCAATATGATCACCTCTTCTGATGACATTTACACAAACTGAACCCCAAACGATCACTTGACAACGGAATAAGTGATGTCGAGCCCCCATGTAAAGTTTATGACTGTTCATTAACTGCCTTCGCTGCGAAGTATAAGTAATGATTGTTAGGAAGGCATTTCTTTATGGAATCGGCGTGCATTTAACGTTTACCGTTTTGCATTCAAATTTAAAGGTGTCGGGACACTTTGTCGGATGTACAGCGAAACTACCGAAACACCGCATGCAGAATGGAGGATACTTTCGAGCAGAAATGAGTACCGAGCAAAATAGAAATACTGCCATTCCATCATACTTTTAGGGCAGTTTTAAAAGTTTAAGGTATTAGCTTCTGAACGAGCATCTTTTCAGTACCCCACTGACTAAACAGGAGTACCTGTGTGGTGTGCGCATATTCCATTGATGTCCGATGCCTGCTTTAATCAAAGTAAAGGTATATAGACGACGTGTACCATTTTCTCTTATTTTTAGGAAGCTAAAGTAGATTGCCTTATTCATTAAATCCCGTGAAGTAAGGCGTAGACTATACTTGAAGTAGAGCGAATACAAGAATTGTTGAAACTTTCAAAAATATTTTGCATACACCAATTCTCAAAGCAACGTTTTTATACAAAAAAGGATTTTTCTATGCAAGTGCCGAAAATATTTATAAATATTTCATGCGAATCTATAACCTTAGAATGCTTTATGCGACTTTTCTTATTTCTGTCTTACAAAATGCGACTTAGAATACATACACCCTTTGGTTTAAAATGCAAACTGACATATTTTAACTGCACGTTTTTTAAACTGGTTCACTCATTCCCGTAAATGAGAATATATGGTAACAATAACTCTACGGGGTTTGAAAAGTCCATTTGGGAAAGTAAGCATTAATGAAGTCATAGATTGATCTCAATTTCATGCATAAAGAAGGCGAAGGCTTGAGGACAACATTCGCAAGGAGACCCTTTCGCGAAGGGTTAATCGAGACAGGAAGAAATTGAAATAAGCTCGAAAGTTAGAGCACAGTTACTGCTAAACAATACCTCC